ATTATTCTAATCGAGATACAACCCTCTGATGCTTGAGTTGAATTGCCGCGGTTGTAGTTCAGAGCATAAATCACCGAAGCGCAATATCGTGAGCACTTAAAGACTGTGTCGCCAAAGTGTTTTGCATCTTGTGCGGAACTATGCCGACTTCTTTTGTGACGAGTAGTCTCGATCACTTGAAATCGTTTGTGAGCTGAGGTGTAGTTTTGCATTGCTTGACTGCTTGTTACCTTTACTCTTATTGAACGACTTTTTTGGTGTGTGAGATCAAGTATGTGATTTGGCATTCCTTTGTGTTCATAGTTTGACTTTGTTTGTAACGCAGGCAAAAGCGCCATGGACCGAATGTCTTCTGATTTATCGACCGAATTGAAGTCTTGCGGAAAAAGCGTCTCCGTGATGTCGCTTTGGCCTGGTGTTGTGCGAACGGAACTGATGATGAAGTTTGCTGATGAAGCCGGTGACACATTACCCATCGACATAAACGCCCACAGTAAGTTGATGACATCGTCGTGCATACGAATTGAGTGTTGAAACCGTCGGCATGGCGTCTGTGTTGTGGGGTTTCTTTTCATTTCGTGTTTTAGCCGAATCACCGGAGTTCACAGGTCGCGTGTTGGCGGAAATCGCGAAAGAGTCGAGGGCCGATATAATGTCGCGTTCTGGTCGCGTGTTCGTCGTAGCCGACGTTGCTTCCTCGAAGGGCATCAAGGATATCGACAGACGCTCGCCGTTGAGTTTTCGTTCATACAAGTATGTCCTGTCGGCTTTCAACTGGGTGTCTTTGAATGTCGATTAGACATGGCAGTCGTTATTGAATGTTTCGGATTGACCTTTATGTGTGTTAATGGAGTCAGCGTGTCTAACCTGGTGGTAGCATCGCTTCTTCCACCTCTCCAAAGCCATTTAGAACAAACCTCTTTTGCTTGTTTGAGCTTGAGTTGATAGGAACGAATGAGTTGATGAAGTCGTGTTGGGAAACTCACAAGTGTAGTCAGGTCCACCTTCTAGGATTGTGCAGCGCTAGCTAGCGACTCACCTCGCTCACCTCGTGCTCTGCATTGAATTATCGACCAGCCTGTAACACTTGCCTCGTTTATTTTTGTACAGCTCCTTGTTTTACTATACTGGTGTTTTTGTGTACATTTACTGTTTGACATTTAGGCCATCTGGTAGAAGTTATTAAGTGTTCCGCATTGGTTTTTGTCATCTTTATTGATGGATTGAGGTAGTTGTGGCCACGAGAGATCAGACTGTATTTGCGGGTCAGCGAGAATCAAAAATGCAACGATGATCAAATCAGGAATAACATGGCAAATTTCACGCTGCCTTTTGGCAAGATGAAAGCAGAGACAGTGCACTTCTTGGGTGGTTAGAGGTTGCGTTTTGCATTGCCGGGTTGCCTTTGAAGTCACGTGTGTTTGATTGCAACACGACTGGAAATGTGCGTTGTCGTCTTGACGATTGGACGACTCTGAGGTGAATCGTGCTTATTCAATACCAACAACCCGGTCTCGGCGTTCTCCGACACGGCATGGCCACCGATCCCAGCGCGCATGCACCGCCCTCACTACCGCTTTCATTCATCACCTGGCCGGTCGGCCATTTGTACTTTTACAAGCCACCCAGGCCGTGTTGACCACCGACCCACTCACACGTCGTCAAGTCGACATTTCACACTAATGGTTCCTAGTCAGAGTGCGTGTGATGTTGGTGATGTCAGTCATAGTTGTCGGCAAATCCGACAGCAACAGTCAATGCAACGTCGGAAAACACGTGGTGCGAGGTTATTGAATGCACAGGGCAATTCGCAGCACTCACAAATGCAAATTACACCAAAGTGGAACCACAAGTGCTTCGTCTTATCTTCTTTTTTCATCTACAGATTTCTCTTGCATTACGCGGGTTGGAAGAAGCTGGCTGCTTGCGTTCCAGGCTTCCTGAAGGTGCCCTACTTCTTCCTGTGGCCAGCGTCACCGAGATTCTAGACCCTCCAGTCGAGAGCACAGCGCCCTCATCACCTCTTCGCTTCCTCGTTTTTTTCCCTAACTTCCAATTTGCCATTGCTAATTCCTAGTAATATAAGCGTTCGTTTTAACTAAATGTGGTTCATTGGTGGGAAGTTGGCCGCTTCAGCGTGGACATGCCGAACTTGTGATAGAGGTTGTATTCATAATGGGCAACTCCTGTTGAATTGTGAACCAGTCGTCACAGATCGGGCCATTGCAACATCTCAGCTGCCCGTTTTTGAGTCATCAGCTACTCTGTTTTTGGAGTACAATAAATGTGTTGTCTTGTCATGGCAGGAGGTGTTTGTGTACCGGAAATGTTCGATGATTCGCTGGTGGACATAACTTGCTGCAGTGTATTGAGAAATCAACATGTCCGCGTGTGCTGCAGACCAGTAAAACAGTAAAGATGGCTGATGACGATTGATCGACGCTACCGTTACCTAAGAGCGTAGACAGCAATTGCTTCATAGATAGCACAAAGGCAACAATTAAGGATCCGTTGTTGCGTCAAGTTGTGCTGCGCGTTCAAAACTGAAAACTGGGTTCTGCTTGCTAGAATCCAAACGTAATTTGATCCATTTATTCAGTTCTAAATCACAGATAGTGTAAACAAAATTGTTTTGCAGAGGTCCGCCAAATTGTGTGACTTGGGACCGCCTTTGGCGGTTATTCAGGCCAGCCGCTATTTCCAGTATCAGTTTGAATAAATGTTGTTGCTCTCAGCTACGTTTCCCTGCCACGTTATTGAGCAGATTTTGCTGCTTCTCAAATTTGTTGTGAATAGAATTCCTGCAATGTTTGGGAGCAGAAAGTGCTATCGATTGTATTTGAACCTGGGATGTTATTTGCTAGTCTTAACAATCTCAAGCTACGTTTCTTAGCAAACACACGTTGCGGCTAGATCAACTGCCTGCACGCCGAATCAGGGTTCACCTTCAGTGGAATTTGGACCTCACTGCTTCTCCTGTCGGTAATGGGAATCCGTATTGGCTCATTTGGCAGTGATGAGTATTGATTATTTCGCCTAACACCCTATTGGTCCACACAAACCATGTACTCGTCCTCCGTAAACACACACATACATGCCACAGTCAATAAACACGCGAGGAAAACTTTTGTGCTTACAAAGAGCTCAGTGTGTCGTCTGTTCATCACACTTTCACCGTTTTATCGCATCGTTGTTATTAATCATATATCCCCACCACTTCACGGTCACCCGATGACATCTATCTTTTAGAACTAACTGCTACCTTCCAGATGTTTACGCAAACAAAGCAGGTAGAAAAGAGCTGACTATCGCATGTCTCAACCAAATATGCTGGCCAGGGTGTTGCGACGTTTGTTTGCTTCTGCA